TATGGGCATATGAAGACACAATTCCGAAGTGGGCCTTCTCTTCGGGCAGTGTCCCTCCTTTTTTGACCCCAAAGACTTTTCCTTTCTGAAGTAATCATGTGGACCAATTGGACTAAAAATCAGCATATCGATTTGTTAACATCAGAATAGATATCTAAGCGTCAGTTAGTGAGCCATTATATTATCGACAACGGCATATATTTAGGAAAATGATATGTCGAAAAATTTTGTCTTCAAAATTTATATACTGAAACCTTGCCTTATGTTAGTTCTGAGAGCTTAATGCACATAAAGGTGTTCTTACACTATGGCTGCGTTTCTTTATACATTCTGGATAATCCCATTTCACAGCCGGAATAAACAGAATGCTTTTGAAATATACGTCAACATATCATCAAGAACGTTCTAATGAATAAATAAACAAAAAAGTTGATTCCAAACGTTCAGAATGAATAAAGAAATGCAGCCTATATGTATTTGCAGTTGTACATGCCACAATCTGGGTTTGGTTTATTTCCTGTTCAAAGAACGTATTTTTAAATAGCTAAATAAGGACTGTGAATTTGACAGATAGATGCAATTACATATCGTCGCTTGGCGTGCAATAGCGCGTATAGGAAAAAAATCATTTTTGCCAACCTGTCTCAGTGCTGGCCTACTTCACAAATTTATTGGTCAATATTTTTAGTAGAAGCCAAGGTACATTGAACAGGTAGTATCAGTAGAGCAGCTTATTTGATTTATTTTCAAATTATTTGGTCTCGAAAATGTCAAATATTTTTAATTTTTTCTCACGAAAATTATAAGTTGTTAAAATCCATTTGCTTGTGAAACCTTTTTCCATACAAAACAAGCGATTGAATAGCAGCTTTTGGAACGTTCGCCCAACTCGGCAGCACGACCGCTGATTACTGGGCCTTGTAAAGGATGGATCAATGCTTCGAGAAGCAAACAAATTTACTAGGAAAGAAAGTTGCAACAATTTTTATTTTTTCCAATTTCAATTTTTTATTTTTTATAATTTTTTGTATTTCACATGGCACGCTTTGATTTAGAAGAAAAAATTCAGAACAGTTTTTGACACTTTCGATACCAGAAGCAACAACAAAATACACGCAAATGTTGTTTTTGCTCTACTGATACTACCTGTTTAATGTGCCTTGGTAGAAGCTCATATTTAATAATTTCAGTTAGAAAACCATTCAAAAGTTTAGAAGAAAATAAGTTGATTTGCACTTTTGTGATATTTTCGGACCATCATATACGCGGTATTTCACGCCAAGCGACGATATGTATCTAAAAAGTCACATTTACAGATGCAAATACATATCGTGTAGGAACACTTTAAGTAACTTTCTCTTACACTTTGTTGGCCTTCGTATATTAGCCATTAAGGGTGGGTAACTCAGCAAATTTATAGGAGTTGACTCAATGACTCCAACTCACTTTAAGGAGTCAGCTCATTCAACTAACTCATTTGACTCTTTGTATGTTACACTCATTCGTATCGTAGACTCGTTTTGAGGCATAGATGCGGTATAGCGGCCGTTGAGATAAAACAAAACTTTAAAGTGGGCGTGGTCAGCTCCTTTCTACTGATTTGAAAGGTGTAATTTTTTTTGTGTGCAAATTAATAGGGCGGTGCTAGGGGGAGGGTAAAGGTGGAATTTTCAATATTTTCAAAAGCTTATATTTCGAAACCTATTGTACCGAATTTCAAAATGTGGATATGGTTGGAAAGGCAATTGATTTGATATGCACATCTTTATATATCTTACATACATACATATTTCGAGAAAAACTAAAAAAAAAAGAAATTATAAGAATTTGTGAGATTTGACATAACACCCGCAATACAAAATACATGTGGTTGTTGTTGTTGTATTCTTGCCACCACCTTGTATAAATTCGCCTCGTGCAAAAACAAAATGCAAGACTTTGCCATGCTAAACACTGTGGCGAAGCGAGAGAGTTATATGGACAAATATGAGCCACTATGATTCAATTGATTCATGTGAGCCCTACGGCATCAACTGAGTTACTGAGTTACATTTTTTTTGGACAGGGAGTCTGAGTTACCGATTCACTTATAGGAATCAACTCAATAACTCAACTCTGAGTTGAGTTACCCACCTCTATTAGCCATTATTCTGTTGAATAATGAAACCATTAACTTCTTCTACCACCACTTCTCTTGTTGTCAGCTCCCCAGCACATTTTTTCTAAATTCACTCCTAGTTGTAGTATGTCCTTGTTTTTTAGTAGCCCTGCTCAGTCAGTTTTCTTAGTAGTAACTTTGAGGTTGTGTGTGTTTAGCCAGGTTAACGTTCCAATCATTGTTTTTCTCCATGCTCTATGGGCTTCTTCTGTGCTTTGCTCAGTAATTACGGTGGCTATGACGTCTGCTTAACCAACGAGATATAGGTTATCTGGTATCCCTATATTTATTAAGCCATCGTAGCTTGCTCTCCAAGGATAAACGCATACGTCTTTAGCCATAATATATTAAATATTTTTGGACCTAATTTCCCAAACCTAGGGGTCGCCTTTTTACATTTTTTTGTGACACCTACATTCGCAATAATCAAATAATATTTAGCGAGCTTTAATGTACTGACATTAGGCTGCTTTGTACGGCGGTAAAAAAAATTAAGGCAGATTTTTTTTTCAGCGGCCGTATGTATGAAAATATGCAAGCATATTTTTATAATTTTATGCTCTTTCTCTTTCTAACCTAACGGAAAACATCGCTTACATGAATATGTATTTTATTAATTTAATTATTAGCCTAAATTTCAATATCAAAAATATGCATGTACTATAAACACAATTTCCATAACATTAATTGACACCTGCGCGAAAAAAATACCTTCCTATTTTCATACATATGTACATATGTATGTTAAGGGTTTCCCCTGTTGAAATAATAATAAAACCATTGAAAAATGTAAGTAAAATCGAATTGATTTATCAATTCTTTAATAAAGCAATCAGAGGCGTGTGCCAAATTTTCCACATGACTTACAGAAATATCAAAATGGCTAATATAAACATGAATAAGTAACGTAAATCAAAACATCGAATTTTCGAAAACAAATGTGTACTTTTCAAATCTCACAATATTTTCATCACTGACCGGTGGTGACTGTGGTCGCCGGAGGGACGCTGTTAGTTTTCCGGTGTGAGAATCCGTGTCTAGCCGCTAGCTTTGTATATGTAGGTATGTATGTAAATACATATGTATGTATGTATGCATAGATGTGCAAAATTTACATATGCGCATACATATATAAGTATAATCTATTCCCACAATCGTTCCTAAACGGCTGTATTGTAGTAAGAAAAACAGCAGGCGTTGGTAATTGTAATCATCAGGGTTAGGATTTGAAGGCATTTGCCTATTTTGTCGGCTTGGTCGTATCTGTATACGAATTAAAGAATCACACGTTTCATGTCTTCCTTGATTAAAAATATAAATTTTTATTTTGCCTTTTTTTACCTTGTTTGACTATATTGCCCTTTTTAATGTTCATCTCTTCATTTTCGAACTTTTATGTTTTACAACACTGCAACTCGTTCGTTTAATTAGATTTCCTAGAAAGATTCTGAGTACGCAATTTTGTAGCCCATTGAATTCTAGTCGAATAAAGTACAAGTTTCAAGTGGCTAACGGTTTATTTTTTAGAATATTTAAAAAGTAACAAAGTTGAAAACTTGGGTTTACACGGATTTTGTCAAAGAATGAATTATATTTTTTATAAAAAATATCCAAAATTAAATATCAACAAAAATAATATATTCAATCGTGGCAAAGAGTGGTTCGGCTAAAATTTTTTGACACTGTATATATTTTTTTATATATTTAGTTTGACATGCACATTGTACATAAAAGTATATAACAAAATTTAAAAATTAATGCCTTTTCTAAAAGCTCATTTTGCCTTTTTTAAAGGTTTTAGTGCCTTAAAATCCCAACCCTGGTAATCATTATCGTTTTGCTCCTGCTCACAAGCTGACTAAGCAATAATTGAGACGAATAAATACCGCGCTCTTCTTTTGCCAAATTGGCTTAAAGACGACTGACTTATCGCAGCCGTTTATTGCTGCATTTTTTTGTACAGATTCTTTAAAAAGAAAAACATGCATATGTGCATAAATATGTATTTATTTATATACGTACATATGTATGTGTGTATGTACACTATTAAAACTATAGGAAAACATGTAAATTTTTGAGTTTGCTCATAACGCACACTGTGAGAATGTGTTGAGTTCGAACACGAAAAACATTCCTCATGCGTATCTACATACATATTTATTTTAGTCTCTTAGTTTCGAAAGCATATAGCCGAGTAATTTCGTGATTTTTAAAAATAGCGAAGACTGCCGGGCACAGTGGTATATTTTTTTTAAAAGATCTTAGAAATATTTGTTTTTTCTTATTTTTTATGAGATTTTGAAGTTTTTTAAAAATTGCACAAAATTTAATTTTATATGTACTGAATAATTTGAGTATGGTCTTTTCAAAGGGAATATCATAAAATGCAAATAAAATGGCAATTAAAAATTTTTAATCAATGAAAAATTTTAGTTTTAATTGGAGTTTTTTGCGATTCAACCAAAATATTTGAATTGTGTTAATGTGGTTTCTATTGCGCTTATTTTAATTACTTTTAAAAAGGCAAAAATCTTTGAAGCAAAAGAGTGCTGTCATAAGTGAAAAGCCTACAAAATCAAAAAAAAAAATCAAAAAATCTTCGTTTGACAAATGGTTAAAAGACTTCAATACATATTTCAGTTCAGATGTTTTGAATAACGTTTATATTTATTCGAAATATTTGTTTCTTTGTAATAAAATTTATACATACATACTTATGTATGTACCTTATAATTTGTAATTAAATAAAATTTGGAAACTATTCAGTAATATTTCTTGGTAAAAACCAATTAATGTTTTTAATTCAAACGAACCATTTTATTGCCATTCCATCCTGTGAGAGCATCGGTGCAACGATCGCGAAAAATCAGAAATTGAGCGACCAGTCTCAAATGAAAATTCCTCCGCATCGGTAATTCGGAAAAATCCGCGCATACGCCATACTGAACACGCGCATTATATTCATTATATTGCTCTAGAGTACCTCGCCCGCCGTATTTAGTTAAAAATAGAAAGTCGACAAATTTTTTACCTAATGAAAAAATCGTAAAAAATTGCATTATTTGACCAAGAAATTTACAATTCTGTTGTATATTAAAGTTACACATAAAAATACTAAGAGATTGTGAAAACTTTTGAAGTATGCAAAGATATAACAAAAAAAAAACAAAAGTATTTATAATCTTTATATAAGTGGCTCGTAGCGAGAAAATTGGTGAAATAATTGCCAGATCTTAATGTGAATGCAGAGCAAAGGTGTTTAAATTTTTGAGTTTATTGTAATAAATACAAACAGACGGTGCAGTGCGGCAAGCTACATACATACACACATACAAATGATAGTGACAGGCCACAGCCGTTGTAGAAATTGCCTTGATACAGAAACATTAGTTTCCAAATATTTATAAAGTGGAAGCGTGTACATATGTATGTACACAAAAACGTGAGAAGACACTCTGCCACTTTGTCTGATGCGGTTCAATAGTTTCTCTCCAAATATTCTTCAGGAAAGCACAAAATTTGCTCGATTGTTATGATCCAAAGCACCTGTAATTTAAAAAATTAAAAAAATATTAAGATAAACCTAATTTGGTTTTTATTATTTTAATTTTTATTTTTTTTTTTGGTTGCAATTTAACTGACTCAAAAAAATATATATATATAATATTGAAATGCAGCAAACAATTTGAACAAAAATGCAGAATAACAGATACATATATACATATGTTTGTATGTACATACATATATCTTTTCAATAGAAGTACATACGCATGTGCATATATTAGTTTTATGACAAGAATTTGAAAATAAATTGAGCAAAAGTTCCCTATATACACTCACGCGCGCTCTCTTTTTTACGAGTATTTGTTTTTTTTTTTGGATTTGCGATTTATACTCGTTCTTTTTTATTTACATATTAGTGGGGTGTCACAAGAATTTCGAAATTTAAATTTTCCAACAGACATCTAATTGTTTACATGTGCCTATAAAATATATTATTGACTAAAGTTGACTTAGATATCAATATTTTAATACAAAAAATCGATATAATGAATAAAATAGAGTCTAGCATTAGATTTATGTACCATATGTATATATATCGACACCGCCAAACCATACCATGCTAAGTATCACTAATAGCTCAGTTAGGCATATTTGGCATTACATGAGAGTTGTCACATAAGGAATCTGTTAAATGAGCTTCGCGTGTAAGCGGCTACCCGACGCACGACATTACACATTTAGAAGTCTGTTAGTTTTTGATTTTTACGTAAAAATGACATGCTATGCAATGCAGTGCAAAGAATGCATAACTGAGCTATAAGCTCTAAAGGCGACTTAGCATGGCATGGTTTGGAGGTGTCGATATACTATACATAGGTTTGAATTTTAGCCAATACAGAGTGATAAGACCACAGATTTTCTTTTATAAATAAAGCGCAGCAAAATTTGTCGAACAATTTTTTTTTCATTTTTTTTTTTAGTCTACGGCATTTATGTTTGAAACACAAAATCCGTTAAATGCGACGCAGAATTCGCATATCAAAATTTACTATGACTTTTTGGCATAGTTCGGGCGTACGATTTCGTTCTTCAGCGATGGAGTCATCTCGGGCCTATTGGCATAGACCATACATACTTTGCACATAGCCCCAGAGAAAGAAGTCCAATGATGTTAAATCGCCAGTTATCGGCGGCCATTTTACTTCGTTGTTTCGAGTGGCACCTTGCTGTTGATGTGGTTGACCAAGTCCATGCCATGTAATTCAGTCCATGGAAATTTTGTTATCATTTCACGATAATGTTGACCGTAGCTCCGTTACCGGCAACATTTTCGAAGAAGAATGGTGCCTTAAATCCGCCAACTCAAAAATAAAACCATAGCTTTTCTTGAATAATTTGTGAATTTTCAGTACCACAAATGTGGAAGTGCTACTCGTTTAAGCTTTCAAATTGTAAATATATGGCGCTGAAAATTGTCCCTAGGCTTCATTTCCTGTGTCAAACGAATTTGGTCGAACGACTTGTACGAAGACGCACGTTTTGCGACGACCCAATTTCTTAGAATTTCGGCATCAAACGGAGTATTGTTAACTCAGAATGCACTTCTTGCAGAACAACAATTTTCATAAAATATTTGCATCAGTTTTACGCGTTGTTCTACTCAATATCGCTCCATAACTAATGATGTCCCGATACCAGTACTTAGAAGTATATACTCCAGTATTTACCTACCTATAAGTATTTTTTGTACTTCTATACACGTGTACAAGTACTTCATGGGTATCGAGTACAAAGTGCAAGTATTTATTTGTTTGCCAAATTTCGGAAAATCAACTGAAAATAGAGCTGTTTTGTAGTTTTTGAAAAAACTTTTGTAGCACTGTAAACCGTAGTACTGTAAACCGTAGTTGTGTACATAGTACTTTAGCACTTCTTTGTAACATATGAAGAAAATTATGTATGTAAATATACAAACGAATTTCGGTTCATTGTTAGACTTCAAAAAGAGAAAAGACGATAAATATGCAATATTGGTAACAATTTAGCAAGCTAATTAACAAATGCCCATTCCATAAATCAGCTAAAACGTGAATTCCATATTGAACATTAAATCCACCAAGACATTTATTATGATGGATCACCTTATGCTAGCCTCGATACTTCATAAGAGAGTTGTAAAGTTCACAATACTTTCATTTTAAATGCTCAAATAAAGTTGTAATACCACTATTCAACCGATCGAGATGAGTATAGTTACTACAAACTGCAGAAAATACATCTTTAACTTGTTACTTCGCATAGATCAGATTTATGTTGCTCATACGTACCCGCACCCTACATTTATACAAAAATGGTCAGAGTTCAGGTTTTATTCCCAAAGGACCGAATTTCGTAAACCACTTACAGGATTTAACTACTTATTTGCTGAGCTTCAACTCAGCCCTTTAACGTATTTCCAGGGAAAATTAATTTGTTATTTAATTGAAGAAAAAATATTATTTAGCCAAGGAAGTTTTACAGCTTTTTTTCATTGTAATTGATCTTTTTAACGATGTTTATATATATATCTTTTCCCTCTAGTAGGCTAATTTTTGTATGAGTTGAAAAATTCAGGAATGGGTGATTTTAGCACGAGAAATCCAAAAATGATGTCCTTTTCGATCTGTGACAGTAACTTTTCCCTACAGGGGAGAAAAACCAAGACCGTCTGGAGACGGGCTCGCCGATATACTTTGACGTATTTTCAGCTTTCTCTTACACAATGTTGACCTACGAACCGGCAAGCCGGTCTGTAGACGGTCTGTGTTCGAAAGCAATTTTCTCCATTTCGAATGGTGACATAATTATAAAACTTATATCAAAATACTGTGCTCTTAACTACGAAACCCTCTGAATTTTTTTGTATCAAAAAATGTTTCAAAAGAAAAAATTTCTTTAATTACGAAATTACTTAATAGCAAGAAATAATTAATTTTAACCAAGTCTTTCACAATCTGTGATTGAACTGCCGATTAAAATAAAACGGATTGACATAACGGATTAAAATTTACATCGTCGTAAAGGTACGCTTTTTTCTAAAGATCGTGCTTTTCGAATATAGAAAAAACTTATTATAGGTGCACTAAATACGTGTTTATTTATCGACCGTCTGGAGGCGGTTCAGCCTACTAGAGGGTTAATCCACTCCTTGAAATATTTCTGCGCAGGTGTCTGCAGCTATGAATTTAGTACTAAATATGTACATATGTTTTTATACAATGAATGATGCCTTTTATGTCCCTCTATGAATGCGAATTGTGATGTTTGGAGGAATTCCCAGCACTTGCGTGCATTACTAAATATTTGATTGTACTTGAAGGATTTATCATCAGCCAACTGCATGAGTAAATATCGAGTAAATGCGCAGGTTTATAGCTTTTGTTCTAGAAAGAGAACATTAATCAACCGTAAATCGCTTAAGCCATTCAAAATAAAACAAGCCGAAAAATTCGAACAATAACAATGGCAGTTCATAAGAAAAGAAAAGCCATGCGTAGATATTTACTTCATACTGAGATCATATTGAGTGAATAAACTCGCATAGACATTCAACCGAATGGCATGCATGTCTTTGATTTCCGATTTCCGTATTTCGATTGTAAAATTACCTTTGTACCTTTGTTTTACATACATATTTATCTCATATGTTTGTACATATATATGAACCTGTCATCGATCGCGATTCGGGGAGCAGCTTGCACGATAGGTACGGTGACCATATTTATGGGAGCCGAATACGGGACAAAAAATAATTTTGCAAATCTTCTACAAAAACTTACAGATCTTAAAGCCTAAGATCCGAGACGTACTGGCCCTGAAACAGCATCCTTCTAGTAACATCTCAAATTTGTAGGATATTTTTTTTTTAAATTCGTTAAATTTTAAATTTAATAAAGTCTAATTTTGATATCGCTAAGACTTTTTTGGCAATTTTTTTGTTGACGGTCTTACGCAGTTTTTCATAAAAAGTAAGTACCTATGTTCGACCATTTTTTTTTAAAGGAGAAGCAAATGAGCAGCACTCTCCACTTGCACTTTATTATACTAAATTTTAATGAGCTACAAAACTACAAACAATTTTTTTTTTCTAAAGCTTCTAATTAAAAAGTTTGAAGTTTTGGTGAAACATTGCAGAATTAATTT